ACAAAACATTTTTTCAAAAATTAGCTGGGCATGGTGTCACACACCTGTGGTCTCAGCTACTCAGGAGGATTGCTTGAGCCTGAGAGCTCGAGGTTGCAACAGGCCTTGATGGCACCACTGCATTCCAGCCTGGGTGACAGGACAAAACCATGGCTCAAAAACAAAAATGGTCCTCTGCGAACAATACTCTATTACTTTTTACAAAAGAAAGTCATGGTTTCAAGCAATATGCATATATACATCAAACATTCATGTATCAAAAAAAACTCTAGATAAAGATGTTACCATAGTCATTTTATGAATGATAAAATTAATTAACAATGTAAGCATTCTTGCTAAAATCTAGTACAGTGGCTTAGAACTAAGGTGCTTTTGATGCAGTTTAGTTAGTAAAAACACTATGCATTTTAATCAGGCCAATTATCAATTTGATACAGTACTTAATTTTGATAGCTAATAAATTGAAATAAAAGTACATTAATTTTTAAAATCAATTATTTTTAGTTAAAGAGAAAGGTGATAAGTACCAAAATATAAAATGTGATTATCTTTAAGAGATGAAATTTTGTGGGATTTAAAGGGTTTTTTTTTCAAAATTATTACTTGTTTCTCCTTATATTTATTCCAATAAGAATGCAGCACTGTTTACAATAGCAAAGACTTAGAACCAACCCAAATGCCCATTGATGATACACCGGACAGGGAAAACGTGGCACATATACACCATGGAATACTATGCAGCCATAAAAAATGAGTTCGTGTCCTTTGTAGGGACATGGATGAACCTGGAAACCATCATTCTCAGCAAACTGACACAAGAACAGAAAATCAGACATCGCATGTTCTCACTCATAGGCGGATGTTGAACAATGAGAACACATGGACACAGGGAGGGGAGCATCACACACTGGGGTCTGTGGTGGGGAACTAGGGGAGAGGCAGTGGGGGGTGGGGAATTGGGGAGGGATAACATGGGGAGAAATACCAGATATAGGTGATGGGGAGGAAGGCAGCAAACCACATTGCCATGTATGTACCTATGCAACAATCTTGCATGTTCTTCACATGTACCCCATAACCTAAAATGCAATAATATATATATATATATATATTTTTTTTTTAAAAAAGAATGTCTTGTCTACATTTTTGAGGTAAATGTTAATTAAGGCATGACATCTTTATTACCAGCAATTAATGAAAATAGATTATTGATGTAATTAGTGTTCCCTATATCTTGATTTCATTGGTCACAATATATTCTATAGCAAGCTGTGGAATTACATCATGAAATTTGATTTTCATTGTCTCTGTATTCAGTGCCAAATAATTTAATAATTTTACTATGATCAAAGCATGTAAATCAATATCTAATATTATCAAATAACCATCATTAATTTGCACTGAAATCATGGTTAAAAATAAATGTGCAGTCATAAATTAATGATAGACTGCTTCACATTTAAGGTATGAAAAGTATTTATAGTAAAGCTCAATAGGAATTAGACTTTACAAAACACATTCAACAAAAATTGGCATTTGTGCTATCTTAAACTTATATGTAAAATAGAGTCTATGTGGAAATTCCTGGCGGTATATAAACCAACTTGATACTGATGAAAGCCAAAATACTACTTGTTCATTTTATAACTCTGGGCATACATCTTTGTTACTGGAAAGTGGCGTTGGATGAAAGATTAAGTAGGTGAATATTCCCTTAGGATTCTGTCAAAAAGCTGGTATTTCTTTTTAGACCCCACACACAATGTAAAGATGTAGATTTAATAAACAAACCATTTCTGATCTCAGCAAGGAACTTAGCAGGGATTTTGAAAGTCAAACACACAGGAGCCATGCTTAGCTGTGGTGGTAAAAGTAACATCTGCCTGAGAGGTTTAAACAACGGAATTTTCAAATCACTTTTAAAGCCACAGTAGGAGACGCGACAACTCTAAGCAATACCTCAACCAGACCAGGAATATGAAAGCTGGAAGAAGTCAATTACATTCAAATACTAAAATAATCTCTATTAAAGGGAAAAGAGAAATAAATTGATGTTCCTGTTCCGCTCTGCCTCCCTAAGCCTTTTTGTGCCTTTTCAATTCTTCATTAATGAATGTAAACTGACTTTAAAGAAAGAAAATTATCTAATGTTACCACTGATAAATAGCTTCACACATTTAAGTTACATGAGTCATTGATTTCAAAGTCAAATTTTATTTCCTAATTCAGGACTTTCATGTAGGATTTATAGGACATCGAGTGACAAGTAATAATTACTACTGCTCTGGATAATAAGGATGTAAAAAGAAATTTGTGATTAACTAACAAATATCTGAAAAAACAAGGTAAAAATATAACCGAAAGCACATAAAGTCTTTGAAATTCATTTAAATTTGTTTCATCTTCTCTATTGTACCTGCAAATAAAGAAATACTTGTGAACATTTTATATATCTTTTAACTTCATCTGTTGTGGTTCACTAAAGCTGTGACCGGATAATTCACTTGTTAAAACACTGTAAATGGAGCTTAGGACATGAAGTAAACTCTAAAGAAGAAAATGTTACTATGAAACTTCTCTTGTACCCATCAGTAAAAAGAAAGAAAATCATTTTTTATCTTGGCATAAATTATGTGTTCAATTGTCAGAAAACTATACACTGCATGACTTTTCTGTAGTAAAAAAATGAAGAGACCAATGACTTGAAAAGGGAGGAAACAGTTTTCTCCTATAAATAAAATATATAAATATATGCTTCCCTTTTATACTGCTTCACTGTGGAATACTTAATAATAACTCATGTACTCACCATGATATCTCACTAAATCTTAATTTAAAAATGACCTATGTGATAACATAGTTACTAAATATCAAAAACATTATCTATGAAAATTTCAACTGTGAGAATATAATTAAAATACAATTAGCCATTTTCGTAATAGATGATAATTTCTCTTAGATATTCCTATGCAATTATCATCAACCAATATTTCCGACACACCCATACCCACATACACACACACATAAAATTTCACCAAAAATAGTCACAAATTCTTACAAGAAATATTTTGAAGGGTTCTTCTCTTTTAACTGTACAATTGCTGAAATATACACTCTTCCACCTGCATTAATACAATGCCCCTAATTCATTTGCGTTTAATTGAGTCTTGAATCAATGCAAAACGTATTTCTAAATATTATGACCATTTACTAAAAATTATTGCTTTAGGCTGAAGGACCAATTAAGGTCAAGGAACACAACGAATAAGTGATTATTTGTTGGCTAGGACTGTAATCTGTGTTTTAGGATACCAAATTCTGTAATATTTCTGCCATACCACAAATGATAATATATCTACTATAATAAAAATACCTCAATTTAAAATACATATAATATATATCTATATGAAGATTTCCAAAATAACTACTAGATTACAAGATCAATAAAATTATATTTTATAATTCTTTCTATGATTTTTATGAATGAATAAATAGATGGTTAGACTAAGTCAGTTAATTGATTTAGAGATTTATGAATCTCTAAAGAATATACATAATTAGTTTATTCCTGGAGAAAAATCAACTGAAATTTTAAAATATTATAAAATTTCTACTCATACAAATACGTCTATTCATAGAAACTTGCTTTTGCAGATCTTTGTTAGTTCATTACATTTATTTTTGCATCCTTATTATCCAAGTCAATAGTAATGATTACATGTCACTTGATGCCCTATTAATCCTGCATAAATTTCTACTCATAAGAACTTATGAGTAATCCCTCATAAGAATATTTGAAAATTTAAAATTTCTGGCTATATATAAAATCAGAATATTTTGTAACTACCAAGTAGTCAATCACAACGCTTTTCATATTTAACAGGCAGCCCCCCCTTTAGTATTTTAATTTCTGATAAAAGAAAATTCATATATGATGAGCAAAATACACATTTGCTTTTATGTTCTTTGAACTTGTTTGAGATCCCCTTAGATTAGGTTAATGTCTTTTCAGGGAAGCTGAATATTCTTTTATACACACATCTCCCTCTAAAGATGGTCTTTTATAAAACAGGATTGATATAAAACTGTCAATTATGTAAAAAGATGAAAATTTTAGAACTGTCAAATCATCTCTTGATTGTAAATATACCCTGCTCACTTTTAAAATTACAAAGACTCATAAAAAATATTTATATGAAAGATATTCTTCTCTAGAATATAAAACATAAACATAAAACAATCATCCTTGCTTCTACTACTCTGAAAATTTTCAAAGTTGTTTAAAGCATATCTAACTGTCTGAGAATGCAGGAAACATAACAGAATTCTGGGTACCTTATAACCACATCTAGTGATGTCAGATTTGGCAACAGATAACACCTGCATTTTTACAGAATACAAATAGATTCATATAGCTTTCTTACTTAATTTTTTCTTCTTCATATCTGGAATATCTGTAGATTTGAAGTCTTGATGATTTCTAATAGAAACAGACATGTCATTATAATTATCCTGGTTTTCATTACATGCTGAGAATTGTCTCAAAAATGCAATATGTTATCAGATTCTAAGAAAAGCATCAACAGAATAATGTCAGTAATTCAGATAAAAATTAAAGTGAGGGACTTCTCTTCCCCAGTCTGTAAGGGCATGGTTTCAAAGGCAGGAGTTTTCGGGATCCGCACCTCCATCCAGGAACCAAAGGGATTTCAAATGTGAAGTTCTTCATCTAGGTTTCCCAGCACAGGCCAGGGGTGGGGAGTCAGGTGGGCTCCTGTGTCTCAAAAGCCTGCCAAACACTCTGGGAGGAGAGGACTCTGCAATTCAGAGTTGTGGACCAAGTAGCCAATCCAGTATCAGAGTCAAAGATCAATCACTCCAGAGGAAGTTTGAAAGAACTCCTCTCATTGGACAAGAACATGAATAAGGAGGGAATAACTCAAGTGTTAAAACTCGGGCTACTCTTTACCTATACAGATTCCTTCTCTGGGTCCCCTCCCAGGGAGCTGCCTCTCTCTCTCTCTCTCTCTCTCTCTCTCTCTCTCTCTCTCTCTCTCTCTCTCTCTCTTATAAATTGCTTTTCCACAAAACTGTTTGGGTCCACAATATTTATTTGAACGGCAAACTCACTGCGCTTTCGGGGCCGTTTCCCCATTCTTTGGGTTTAGCAAGGCTAAGAACCTCTTTGGAACTGGGAGGAAGCTGGGGATGCTGACGCTTTCCCAGTCACATATTTTGAGGAGCCAACCAGGAGAACGTTGAACTTCAGATTGGTTAGTGACATCGGACCCATTTTGCTTGCTAATCGGTCCTTTTGCTTCTTTTAAATTTTTAAGGCGGTAAAAGACTGGGTGCCTGTCAGCCACCTAAGTGTGAATATCACAGCCACCTGCCTAAAGACATGGGTGTCAGGCTTTCTGGGAACAGACTCTCCAACTCCCCACCCTCCAGAACTCGGAGTGTTGGTCAGCCCCAAACCAGCTTCCCTTTCTTGCTGTTCTTTCTTTCTCTGGGCCAAGCAGAGGGCCTGCAGGAAGAAAGGAGGTGGTCCTGAATTCCTGGTTCAGTCTGGTTTAGGTCAGGGCCCTTCTTAGACCTCCTAAGTAAAAGCTGCCTATGCAAGCTATGCCTAGACTTTCAGACCCCAACATCCTGGGTCCAGATTTCCATAAGGCAAACTTCTTCCTGGCTGTTTCCTATAAGATATTTCCTTCACATGAGGCTATTACCCTTTTTGCTAGGACATTGAGACTCTTGGGGTAGCAGTCCAGGAACCCTTGCCTATGGAGCCCTTAGGCTTATGCTTATAAAGACTTCCTACAGTATAAATGCTCAGGGCCAGTTCCCTTAGTCTGCTGTGCTAGGTTATCTCCTAACAGAGCCAGAGTCTATCAGAGGGTACTGGAGGCTATAGGATGTTGTGTGTTTGTCATCTGCAATTTCCCAATCCAACTGAGTGGTACCAGAATCCAATGATGTACAATTTGTTTTGCCTAGAATTGGCTCTCCATACAGCAGAACTTCTCCATCTACAATATTATAATCACACCTGCTCTAAGACTCAAATAGTTAATTACAGGCCCCACAGCCCTAGGGCATATCCCTATGATGGAAAGTGGGGTTGGGGAGAAGGCCTGGGTCCTGAGGGCATTGTTCCAGCCTCTACCAGGCAGCCAGCCATTACCTTCTTTAAGACTGCTGTGCTTAAATGCCCCTCTAAAGAGTTTATTCTCCTAGGGCAGTTTTATTGTCAGGCCTATGTTAATTAAACTCTTGCTAGGGAATACTGGCAACCATTGCCCAAGCCTTACTGGTCTAGTTCTTCAAGGATACACCATTACAGGTCCACTATGCCTGGCAGTCCCCATGTCCTTAAGGTGACCATAAGGACATTAGATAGTGAGCCTGTGCCCATGGCACCGGTAAGTGTGATTAAACCCAGCACATGGTGGTGGGGGGAGTCAGAAGATGATCACACATCCAGGGAGCAAGGAAATTATAAGGTGCTATAACGGGGGATGCCCCAGGGCTAGCAGTTACAAGAAATAACCAGGGATGCGGACATCAGATGGGTGCCACTCTTCCCAAGACGAAATCACCCTTAAAGTGGATCCTGGATAACTGTGACCAATTTGACCCACAATCTTTGAAGAGGAAGTGGCTCATTTTTCTCTGCCAAACAGTGTGGCCGTGATATCCTCTGCCGAGTGAAGAAACCTGGCCTCCTAAGGGAAGTATAAATTATAACACTCTTCTGCAATTAGACCTGTTCTGCAAGAGGGAATGTAAATGGATTGAGGTCCCCTATGAGCAAGTTTTCTTTACTCTGAGGGATAGTTCTCAGCTATGTAAGGCTTGTAACCTATGCCCACTGGCCCCTTCTCAGAACTACCCCCATATTCAGGACTCCCTGTGGCTCCTCCTTTCACCAATGCTGACCAGGTCTCCTCAGCTCCTATAACCCAAGAGGAATCATGGAAGGCCAAAGCTGCCAAGGCACCTCAAGCTACTAGGATGCCCCAATTCTGCCCCCTGCAGGCAGTAGGAGGAGAATTTGGCCCAACCGAAGTACATACCCCCTTTTCACTTTCTGATTTAAGCAAATCAAAGTGGACTTTTGAAAATTTTCAGATGACCTGGACAAGTACACAGATGTTCTGCAGGGCCTGGGTCAGCCCTTCAAATTAGATTGGAAAGATATCATGTTATTGCTTAGTCAGACCCTAACCAGTAATTAGAGGGAGGCTGCTTTAGCAGCTCAAGAGTTTGGGGACACCTGGTACCTTAGTCAAGTACATGACAAAATGATGCCAGAGGAGAAGGCTAGATTCCCTACAGGCAGACAAGCAGTCCCTAGCATGGAACCTCGCTGGGATCTTGACTCAGAACAGGGGGACTAGAGTCATAGGCACCTATTAACCTGCATACTTGAGGGATTAAGGTGAAACAGGAAAAAGCCCATGAACTATGCAACATTATCCACCATAACTCAAGGAAAGGAAGAAAACCCAACAGCCTTCCTTGAGATGTTATGGGAGGCCTTAAGAAAGTATACTCCCCTATCGCCAAACTCCATCGAAGTTCAGTTAACACTAAAAAACAAATTTATTACTCAATCAGTAGCGGACATTAGCAGGAAGCTCCAGAAGCTGGCCCTGGAGCCAGAACAGAATCTAGAATCATTACAAAATCTAGCAACCTCGGTGTTCTATAATAGAGACCAGCAGGAACAGACTGAAAGGGACAGGAGGGTCAAGAGAAAAGCCACAGCCCTAGTCATGGCCTTCAGGCAAGCAGACCCAAGGGGCTCAGAGGAGGGAAAGGGCCTGGGTTTGCTGCCAGTATGGCAGAGCTGACTACCACTGCAGCCTACCAGGACACTTTAAGAGAGATTATCCCAGAGGAAAGGACCACCTACTTGTCCTTGCCCACTGTCCCAAGGGGATCACTGGAAGGCACACTGTCCCAGGGGATGAAGATTCCCAGGGCCTGAGGCAGCTAACCAGGTGACCCAACAGCAGGACTGAGGGTGCCCGGGGCAAGCACCAGCATAAGCCATCACCCTCACTGAGCCCCAGGTAAAGCTAACCATAGAGGGCCAGGAGGTCAATCTCCTGGACACTGGCGTGGCCTTCTCAGTTTTGCTTTCCTGTCCTGGATGGTTGTCCTTCAAGTCTGTAACTGTCCGAGGAGTCCTAGGACAAACAGTCTCCTGATATTTCTCCCAGCCCCTAAGCTGTAACTGGGCGGATGTGCTCTTCTCCCATGCCTTCCTCATCATGCCAGAAAGTCCCACTCCCTTACTAGGGCGGGACCTGTTAGCCAGAGCAGGAACCATTATCTATATGAACATTTTCAGCATCTCTCTGCTGCCCATTATTTAAAGAAGAAATTAATCCCGATGTTTGGGCAATGGAGGGACAATTTGAGTGAGAAAATAATGCCTGCCCAATTCAAATAAGGCTAAACAATCCCACCTCTTTTCCTTACCAAAGACAGTATCCCCTCAGACCGGAAGCCTAAAAGGGGCACAGGATACTGTAAGGAACCTAAAAGCTCAGGGTCTAGTGAGGTCCTGTAACAGCCCTTGTAATATTCCAATTTTGGGAGTACAAAAACCTAATGGACAATGGAGGCTGGAGCAAGATCTCAGACTTATTAATGAAGCTGTGATCCCTTTATACACAGTGATACTCAACCCGTACACCTTGCTCTCTCAAATACCAGGAAAGGCACAGTGGTTTACGGCCCTAAACCTTAAGGATGCCTTTTTCTATGCTCCATTACATCCTGACTCCCAGTTTCTGTTCACCTTTGAAGACCCTTTGGACCAGAATTCTCAGCTCACGTGGACAGTGTTACCCCAGGGCTTTCAAGATAGCCCTGTTTGTCCAGGCTCTAGTGCAGGACCTTAGTAACTTTTCACACCCAGGTACCCTGGTTCTTAAATATACAGATGACTTACATCTAACTGCCAACTCAGAAAACCAGTGTCAGCAGGCCACCCAGGACCTTCTAAACTTTCTAGCCACCTGTGGATTTAAAGTTTCCAAATCAAAAGCCCAACTTTGTAGGCAAGAGGTAAAATACCTAGGCCTTGCCTTGTCTGAGGGCACTCAGGCCCTTGATGGAGAATGTCTGCAACCCATACTGGCCTTCCCCTGTCCAAAGACCTTAAAACTGTTGCGGGGATTCTTAGGAATAACTGGTTTCTGCCAATTGTGGATTCCCAGATATGGTGAAATAGCCAAACCCCTATACATTCCGATTAAGGAAACCCAAAAAGCCTAACACCCATCTAATACAATGGGACCCTGTAGCTGAGGCAGCCTTTCAGACTCTGAAGCAGGCACTATTGCAGGCTCCAGCTCTAAGCCTCCCTACAGGCAACGGCTTCTCCCTACGTGTTATGGAGAAGTCAGGAGTGGCACTGGAGGTTCTCAGCCACACTTGGGGGGCCATGCCACAACCAGTGGCATACCAAAGAAAAGAAATTGATGCAGTAGCAAAAGGGTGGCCACCCTGCTTTTGGGTCGTAGCTGTGGTGGCTATAATGGTCTCAGAAGCTGTTAAAATAGTACAAGGGAAAGATCTAACTGTATGGACTTCACATGATGTAGCTGGAATTCTGGCCTCTAGAGAAGGCTTATGGCTGTCCGACAACCGCTTACTCAAATATCAGGCCTTAATTCTCAAAAGGTCTGTACTTCAGCTGCACACATATGCAGCCTTCAATCCACCTACTTTTCTTCCTCAGGAAGGGGCAGACAAAGAACATGACTGTCAGCAGGTTATAGCCCAGAACTATGTGGCTCGAGAGGATCTCTTAGAAACTCCCCTAGCCAATCTTGACTTTAATATATATACTGTCAGAAGTTCATTTATGGAAAATGGAGTTCCAAAGGTAGAGTATGCAGAAGTCAGTAATCAGACAGTGCTTGAAAGTAACTCCCTTCCTCCTGGAACTAGTGCCCAGCTGGCAGAACTAGTAGCCCTCACTTGAGCTCTAAAATTAGGAAAAGGAAAAAGAATAAATATACACACAGATTCCAAACATGCGCACCTGGTTCTGCATGCTCATGCTGCCATATGGAAGGAAAGAGAGTTCCTAACCTCCGCAGGAACTCCAATTAAATATCATAAGGAAATTTTAGACTTATTACAAGCTTTCAAAGAACCCAAAGAGGTAGCAGTCTTACACTGCAGGGTCACCAGAAAGGAGATGAGAAGGAAGCTGAGGGCAATTGCCGAGCTGACCTAGAGGCAAAAGGGGCAGCTTGACAATAATTTATAGAAGGGCCTTTAATATGGGAAAACCCTCTCCAGGGAACTAGACCTCAATACTCATCAGAAGAGGTAGAGTGAGCAATCTCCCAGGGACATAATCTTCTTCCTTCAGGATGGCTAGCCACTGAGGAGGGAAAAGTAACCCTACCTTCTACCAGCTGGTGGAAAGTACTTAAAACCCTGCATCAAACTTTCTGTATGGGTATAAGGATGGCCAAATCTATATTTTCAGAAAAAAGATCTCTTCAAGGCTGTCCAACAAATAGTCAAAGGATGTGAAATAGCCAAAAAAATAAAAATCCTTTGGCACATCACAAAGTTCCTCCTGGGGAACAGTGGACTGGTCATTATCTAGGTGAGGACTGGCAAATGGAATTTACCCATATGCCTAAGTCTCAGGGATATCAATATCTGTTAGCATGTGTAGATATCTACACAAACTGGGTTGAGGCTTTCCCCTGTAGAACAGAAACAGCCCAATAGGTAATAAGAGTCCTGATTAATGAAATAATTCCTAGATTCGGACTCTCTCTATGTCTTCAAAGTGATAACATTCCTGTCTTCGAAGCTGCAGTGACTGCAGTGACTGAAGGAATTTCCAGGGTGTTAGGAATACAGCATCATCTCCACTATGCTTTGAGGCCTCAGTCCTCAGGGAAAGTGAAAAAGATGAATGAAATTCTTAAAAGACACCTAAAGAAACTGGCACGGGAAACCCACCTCCCGTGGTCTTCTCTATTACCAGTGGCACTCTTAAGGGTTTCAAATTCTCCCCAGAAAAATAGGACTCAGCCCCTATGAGACACTTTATGGTTGGCCCTTTCTTACTAATAACCTCATATTAGACAAGGAAACAGCAGGTCTAATAAAAGATATAACTAACAGTCTCTCAGGACCTTACCTGAAGGACACCCTAGGAAAAAAGGGAAGGAGTTGTTCTGCCCTGGAAACTTAGTGCTTGTTAAGTCTCTCCCCTCAGACTCTCCCTCTCTAGGTCCATTTTGGAAAGGACTATTTTCAGTTATTCTGTCTACCCCAATGGCAGTTAAGGTGGTGGGAATTGACTCGTGGATTCATCACACTCAGCTGAAGCTTTGGACACCTGCTGAAGAAAATGATAGGCCCTTCATGCCACAGCCTGAAGCTCTAGGAGTTGACTCTTCATATACCTGTGAGCCCTTAGAGGACCTCCGTTTGCTCTTCCAATGAGATCCCCAGGAAAGTAACTACTCATAAGTCTAACTTACATCCTGGCATTAACAGGACTATCACTCTTGACTTTATTACCTGCCACCAGACTTTATGAGGTCACCCTTATGGATTGGCCTAATAGCTCTCCTCCTCTCCTTCTTAGTGCCCCCCATCGTGACAATTTACACCAACTCTCAGGTGCAGAGTCTTCTCTTGCCAAGGCCATGCCATACTCGAAGCCCAATTATTCCTTTCATAGCGGAGGGGGCAGAATAATAGGACTTGCTACTGGTGTGGGAGGAATTACTACTTCTACTCAGTTTTACTACAAGCTATGTCAGGAGTTAAATAATGACAAGGAAAAAGGTTGCTAATTCTCTCTGCAGAGGCAGCTCACTCTGCAGAAGCAGCTTAACTCTTTAGCTGCCATGGCTCTTCAAAATAAAAAGGGCCTGGACCTGCTTAAAGCAGAGAAAGAAGAAACCTGTCTCTTTTTAGGAAAAGAATGCTGCTACTTTGTAAACCAATCAGGTATTGTCTTAAACAAGTTAAAGAACTCAGGGACAGAATGGGATGCAGAGCTAAAGACCATCAAGAAACAGGATTGTGGAATTTGTTTAACAGCTGGCTGTCTTGCCTCTACCGTCTTCTAGGCCCATTCATAACTATTCTATTATTACTGGTCTTTGGGCCTCTCATCAACTTTTTTGTCAAATTCATTTCTTCTAGAATTGAGGCCATGTGGCTAGAAATGGACCTGCAAATGAAACTCCGAATATCCTTGGCTGGTGAGTTCTATCATACACCTCTGGTTCAACTTGCACCACTGAAAAATTTCCCTCTGGAGGAAACCTCAACTGCAGGACCCCTTCTACACTCCAATTCAGCAGGAAGTAAAGAGAAATCGACACTTGTGTCCCAACAGCATTGGGCTTTCCTGCTTAGAGTGGGGACTGAGGAACTTCTCTTCCTGGGTCTGTGAGGGGTGTGGTTTCAAAGGCAGGAGTTTCCCAGCTCCATCTCTGAATCAGAGGGGTTTCAAATGTTAAGTTCTTTGTCTAGGTTTCCTGCACATGGCCTAGATGGGGAAAGCCAGGTGAGCTCCTTTGTCTCAAAAGCCTGCCAAAAGCTCTGGGAGGATGGGGCTCTGTAACTCAGAATTGTGGACCAAGTAGCCAATCTGGTATCAGAGTCAAAGATCAATCACTCTAGAGGAAATTTGAAAGAACTCCTCACATTGGATGAAAATTTGAATGGGAGGGAATAACACACAGGTTTAAACTCCTGCTACTTTTTACCTATACAAATTAATTCTCTGGGTCCCCTCCCAGGGAAGCATGGAAGCTGTCTTTCTCTCTCTCTCTGTCTAACAAATCGCTTTTCTGCAAAACTCTTCTGGTTCACAATATTTATTTGAATGGCAAACTCACCATGCCTCCAGGGCCCCTTTCCCCATTCTTCAGGGTTAGCAAGGCTAAGAACCTCTTCGAACCAGGAGGAAGCTGGGAACATTGATGCTACCCCAGTCACAAAAGAATGTGTTACTGGATAACTTTTCCTAAATAGCCATCTGCCTCACTACTTACATAACACACATTCATAGAAACCTGCAAAGAACAATTGTTTATTACCAATTCATGTTTATGTATAATCCTTTTAAGACTGTTGGCATGAAGGATCATACAACTGAACTTTTATTTTAAAAATAATACGAGGATGGCCGAACAGGAACAGCTCTGGAGTGCAGTTCCCAGTGAGAGCAATGCAGAGGGTGAGTGAATGCTGCATTTCAAAACAAGTTATTAGGGCCCACAGATCAGGAGATTCCTGGGCTGAAAAGCACCACGAGTTTCCAGCACAGAGCTGGTGCAGTGGGTCTCCACACAAAAACTCACACGAATCTGGGTGGCCATTTCAACTGGCACCTGGAACACCTGGGAGACAGAGCCACCCATTTAACTGAAAAAAAGAGGGCTGAAACAGGGAGCCAGGTGATCTGGCTTGGCACGTCCCACCCCCACAAAGACCAGCAATCTGAAATGCTCTGGGTTGAGAGTTTAGCAGCAAGCGCAGCTGGACCTTGGAAAGTCCAGCTTTGTTGGAGGAAGGGCGTCTGCCATTACCGAGGTAGTCCACCACTACCAAGGCAGTCTGCATTACTGAGGCAGTCCACCATTACAGAGGCAGTCTGCCATTACAGAGGCAGTCTGCCATTACTGAGGCACTCTGCCATTATAGAGGCAGTCTGCCATTACCGAAGCCGATCGCTATTATAGAGGCAGTTCTAACTATACATCTATAAACAAAACTGCAAGGAAGTTCACACAGCAGCTCGGCAGAGCCCACAACTGCTCAGCAATACCTCGGCTGGCAGACTGTGACTTGGCTACATCCTTGCTGGGCAGGGCAGCTCTGAAAAAAGGCAGCAGCACATCAGGAACTTATAAATAAAGCCCCACCTTCCCAGGACAGAGCACCTGGAAAAAAAAAATGGCTGTTATGAGTTCTGCTGCAGCAGACTTAAACGTACCTGCCCAGCAGCTCTGAATGGTACAAAGGAGCTCACAGCTCAGCACTCGAGCGCCTATTACGGACAGACTATCTCCTCAAGCAGCTCCCTGACCCCTGTATATCCAAAGAGTCACCTCATAAAGGAGAGCTCAGGCTGACATCTGGTGGGTATCCTTCTGGGATGAAGGTAGCAGAAAAAGAAACTGTGAGCAACCCTTACTGTTCTGCAGCCAAAGGTGATCCACAGGCAAGTAGGGCCTGGAGTGTACCTCCAGCAGTCCTACAGCAGAAGGGCCTGCCTGTTAGAAGGAAAACTAAGAAACAGAAAGAAATAACTTCATCATCAACAAAAAGGATGCCCACTCAGAAACACCATCTGAAAGTCACCAACTACAAAGACCACGGGTAGATAAATCCACAAAGATGGGAAGAAACCAGAGCAAAAAAGATGAAAACACCTAAAACAAGAACACCTCTCCTCCTCCAAGGGATCACAATTCCTCACCAGCAAGGGAACAAAGCTGGATGGAAAATGAATCCAATGAATTGATAGAAACAGGCTTCAGAAAGTGGGTAATAACAAACTTCTCTGAGCTAAAAGAACATGTCCTACCCCCATGCAAAGAAACTAAGAACATTGAAAAAAGGTTTGATGAAATGCTAATAAGAATAAACAGCTTAGAGAAGAACATAAATAAATGACTTAATGGAGCTGAAAAACACAAGAGAACTTCGCAAAGCATACACAAGTTTCAATAGCTGAATCCACCAAGCAGAAGAAAGGATATCAGAGATTGAAGATCAACTCAATGAACTAAAATGAGAAGGCAAGTTTAGAGAAAAAAGAGTGAAAAGAAATGAACAAAGCCTCCAAGAAATATGAGATTATGTGAAAAGACCTAATCTATGTTTGATAGGTGTACTGAATGTGATGGAGAGAATGAATCCAAGGTGGAAAACACTCTTGAGGATATCAATCCTCAGAAAAGAATTCTTAAAATCCATGTGTTTTATTTTGATTTATATAACTAATAAACCTATAAATATGTACAAAAATTATAAAATATAATTATTAGCAAAATATAAATATCTATAATCTCTCAACTTAGAGATGACTATTGGTATCATATTGGTATATTTTATTATCAGCCTTTTTTTTCTTTTAATATATTGATTGTACTACGTTCTAACCTGTTGTATTTATGTTTACTTAGGGACATTTATAATTATCATGATTTTCTTACTGATATTGTCACAATGAGATAAAAAGATAAATGAGATCCTTTAGATTTATGGGAAGCTAGGTTTAATGGAAAGGCAGGAATGCATCAAAAATGAAATTACTGGCCAGGGATCAGTGGTTTTATGGGTTTGAAATTCAAAAATGAGATTTAAAAGCCAAGTTGTCAACATGACCAATTTATGTAAAGTGCAATTAATGACACTGTCTTAAAACTCAGGACTGCAACAAGATAAATGATCACCTGTTGCCTTCAAATCATGCACTGTCTAAACATGAGCTGAACTTTAAAGGGTAATACAGAGTTTGCAGGTGGACACAGAGATGATAAACATGTAACCTGCTCCCCAGATTTCCCTCCCTAGCTTACCCTCACTCTCCTCTTTAGTATTAGCTGGCTCTGTTGAAATTATTTCAATTAAGAGAAAAGTAGTAAAAGCAACAAATCCCCTCACAGTTCCCATGAAGTCTTACAATGTGAAAAGAGATAGGATAAAACATAACATACCAAAAACAGATGAAGTATTTCAATTAGGTGCATTGCACTTGGAATTTTTTAAAAATACTTCCCCATAATCTCAACAGCAGTATACAAATTATTTTAACAAAACTCAAAAATAACTCATGATAAATGAAAGAAGATATAATTACTCTTCACAAAAGGTAATAAAAAGTGAGTGAACAGACTTGGAAAAAATTAGAGTAAAATTAAATTATTTCAAAAAGTAATGCCACATTAGAAGATAAAAAGAGTGAAATAGATTTGGCTGAAAATTGAGTGAGGTATGAATAAGTAAAGTCACATTTAATGAAATAGAAAACAATAGAGGAATAATGCATAAAGATGATACATATAAAAGCCAAAGGAGATCTATTCCATATAGTTGGCATTTCTGTATCAAAGAACAGTGTTGAAAAACATCTTTACAATAATTGTTTCCTTAAATAAATAATGGAATGTTTAAATCACAATGTACAATGTGAACTAGGAAAATTACTGATAAATACTTCTCATACATTTTACCTTGGTAAATATTATGAACTTCAAAAAAAAAAAAATCAAAGGTCTCCAGCTGATGTAAAGAGACACCTAACAGAGAGGGAATCAGGCCGACTTCAGATTACCCAGATCATTGTTCCCTGACAAAAGAAAGTATAATAATGCCTGTAAAGTTCTAGAAAAATAGAAATACTATCTAAGGGTTTTATGTGATCATGTAAGAATTCATAGCTCACAGGTCAACAAATTGGTCTTGGAAAAACTGTTAAAACTAAAAGACAAAATATAGGCAAAAATATTCAGATGAGATGAGATGAATCAAAAGTATATTATTTTTAATGTTGAAGAATAGGAATTATAATCAATATACCTTCAAATCCAGATATAAAAAAATTTAAAAATAGAGCTTCTAGAAGAAGATAGAAAATAAACAACAATGACTAAATATAAAATGAAACTTATAAGATGGCAAATTTAGAAACATTCATATTAAATTTACTAATATTAAAATTTTTAAAGGCAAAGTTAAATATCTAGTGCCAAATGAATAGATGCAAAGATGTGTGATAAATATAAAGTAGTTAAAATATTCATTGTATAATTTGGTGATAGATATATGGGTAGTCAATGTAAAATTTTTGAAACTTCTCCATTTGTTTTAAAACCATTATAGTAAAATGCTGAAAACGTCTTCTTTATTTAATAAGCTAAAATAAAATCTAACAACATGAAATATATAAACATTGAGGGAAAATATAGACGATCTAGAGGAAACCATGAAGAATCAATGAAAAAAATAAGACCACTCATGGTACATAAAACAGAAATCATACAAAAGGTTGAATTACTACTTTAATTAAACCAAAAATATGCCTAGAAAAATATACTATAAATTTTATATTTGAAAAATGAAACTACCAAATCATAACAAATTATTAATATGGTTAACATGTAATGCTGTCAAAAAAATTAACAAAGAGAAAGACTAACATCTCAAAGTAAAATTATCAAAAGATACAGACAGATTATTTAAAAATACACAAAATACCTAAAAACGCAGAGAGGG